TAAACTTGGCACCAGAGGCTGGGTGTGGTGGTGCACTCCTGGAAACCTAGCACTCAGGAGGCTGAGGCAGGAGATCGCTGCAAGTTCGAGGCCAGCCTGGGCTACATAGTAAAGTCCTGTCTCAGAAAAACAAAAATAGGTCCTGAAGAAAGGGCAGGATTCTATCAGGGCAAATAGGAAGAGAAGGGCACAAGCAAAGAAACCAGCTGTGGGAGCCTGGAGACCTGTTTGTTTTCCGTGTGAAAGGGGGGCTCTGCCCTTTGTGCGATTTCTGCTGGGAGGGAGAGTGGCGTCTACCTGTGCTGCTGCCTGGATTTCCAGCTATTGACACAGACAATGACAATGAAAGCAGAGGCCAAGAGAGGCAGCTAGGAGGTGGCTGATTAAAATGTCCTTCCAGGGGCGGCTGGTCCTGGCTGCTGCAAGACTGGCTGGAAAACCCGGGCTGGAGACCCTTCCCCAGAGCCGGATGGATGCTCACAGGGAAGGCTTTGAAAGTGCTCCACCCCTCAAACCCATCTAGCTCCAGCCCACTGCTGATCCTTGCCTCCTCCTTACAGCCAGCATCACTTACAGGACAGGGACCTCTTTGAGGTTCAGATTTCTGTTTCTGAAATGGTGGGGGCAATGGTAGCACCTACCCTCTTGGTGCGGCTTCCTTTTATTTTCATTGTTTGAGACATGGTCTTGCGGTATAGCTCAGGCTGGTCTTGAACTCACTATGTGGTCCAGGCTGACCTCAAACTCACAGTCATCCTCCTGCTTCAGCCTCCAGTGTGCTAGGATTACGGAGATGCACTTGACATCATGAGACTTCTTACAGGTCAGAACTCCAAAGAGAGAATCAGGGTTGCCAGAGAAACAAATATTTCAGATAAGCAATGAATGATGTATTTCGCCTATGTCCCAGAGAATATTTGGGATATAATGACACTAAGAAAAAAAATTATTGCTTAAATGAAATTCAAATTGAACTGATGGCTTGTCTTTGTAGTTGCAAAATCTGGCAACTGTAAAGTGAAGGGTGTTCACACTTGGGGTGCTGGCCTTTCAGAGCTGCCCTAAACTGAGGCCAGGACACCATGCCTTCTCGTTCCCAACACCATTGTCACCCTGGAGCTCAGTCTTGCAAACCCCCATAGGCGGCTGCATCCTTCCTGTCTGTCTGGCCTCCACCCCACTGGGTTAATGCTGATCGCAGAGTTCATTAGGCCTGAACAACCCTGTCATCATTGGCAAACGGGCATACAAATGTGGGCGCTGGCTCCAGCCCCTCTGGGCCTGGCCTCCACTGGAAGGCGCCGCAGGCAGGGGGCAGGGCTGTGCTGCGGATGAGCAAGCCTTCCCCATTCCACTCCCCCGATTCCTTCTCGCTGAAATCTCAGCTTTCCAGTATCTCCCTCTCTCTGCGCCCTCTGATTGGTCCAGACTTCTAGCACTTGGGCCTCTGATTACCCAGCGTCCCTCCCTTGTCGTCTCTTGTTAATATGAGGCGTAATTAAGTTCCAGAAACAGAGAAGGCGACTCCAGTTAGAAAAGTGTCCATGCCTGGGTTCTGATGAAGAGCTGGGAGCTTGGGTGCGGTGAAACGGACCGGCTGACTTGTCCCCGTTCGTCCAGAATTGCTGCCAATCACGCAGAGCTGCCACCAGTCTGTCCTGCTTAATTTCATAACTCTCCTGATTCCCATTTTACAGATGAGGAAACTGAGTCTGGGCAAAAACAAGGATCTTGCTCAAGTGTCTCAGTCACTTTGTCGTCACTGAGACACAATACTGCCACCCAAAACTTAAAGGAAGAGAGATTTATTTTGGATCACCTTTCAGTCCATGGTTGATGGCTCCTTAGTGGAAATGGCACAGCGAGAGAACGCTGCTCACAGCATGGCCAACAGGAAGTGGAGAGAGAAGGGAGGAGCAGGGGAGGGGGCTGACCCAGGCTCTGCCTTCTAACCACCTTCCAAAGCCCTGCCTATGATCACATGAGGCTTTAGGGGGCATCCAGATATAAATCATAACAACAAGGTTCCACAGCAAACAGTAGGCGTGTCAGGAGCCACACATGTCTGTACAGTAACACTAATCTGCTAGGTGCTCAGAGTCGTCTGTCCATGCCCAGGCTCAAGGCCATGTGCCATCAACAGTAAACATGAGCAAAGGCCAAATGACCCCAGAGCCCCCAGTAAGCTGAGCTCAGCACAGAAGGCATCGGCTGGAAGCAGCAGAGTATCCTGTCGTCTGGAGTCCACCAGCTGGGAACAGGAACCTTGTGCTCTGCTATTTGATCCAGATAATCTCTGTTAGAAGGAATTAGGGTCTCAGGCTGGAAAGAGTCTGGGGCTGGGTCTCTAGGAACAGTGGGGAGAGACCCACAGAACTCCCTGCAAGGGCTGCCTCTTCTTGTTTTTATTTTTAATTGGAATAAAAACACATAACCCAACTTTACCAATGATGTGGTTTTGCTTTTCCAGCCAGCATCGCACTATGCATCTGGACCAGACTTGGACTCCCTGTGTAGCCCAGGCTAGCCTTGAACGCGCAGTCCTCCTGCTCCAGCCTCATCTTCACCATTTTAAGTGCACAGTACAGTAGTATTCCCTGCCTGCACATTCTTGGGCAACAGATCTCTAGGACTTGCAAAATTGAAACTCTGTACCTATTGAATGGCTCCCCTTATCTCCCTCCCCCCAACTCGTGGCAACCAGCCTTCTACTTTGCTTCCCGGAACGCCACTACTTTAGATACCTCCTAAATGTAGACTCCCATGGTATGTGTCTTTCTGTGACTGACTTATTTCCCTTAGCATATATGCTCAAGGTTCAACTGTAGTATATGCCAGGATCCCCTTCTCTTTTAAAGGCTGAATAATAGTCTACTGTGCGCGCGTGTGTGTGTGTGTGTGTGTGTGTGTGTGTGTATAGCATTTGCTTTATCCATTCACCTGTCTGTGGCCTAAAATTACAATTGCTTCCATCTCTTGGCTACCGTGAAAAATGTTTCAATAAAACGTAGATAAAATGTGCAACCATCTTAGAGTCTGTTTTCCATCCCTTTGGACATATACCAAGAAGTGAGATTGATGTATCCTTTGCTAATTCTGTTTCTAATATTTTAAGGAACTTCATACTTTTTCCAATAGTGGCAGTAGCATTTTACATTCCCATCAACAGGGCACAAAGCTTCTAATCTCCCTACATCCTCACCAATGCTTGTTATTTGGTTTCTTTTTCTTTTTTCTTTCTTTTTCAAAATACATAATGGCTATCCTGGTGTGTGTGAGGTGATAAATCCTTGGGATTTTAAACTTGTATTTCTCTAATAATTAGTAACATCGAACACACTTTCATATCCTCTTTGGCTCTTGTAAGCCTTCTTTGGTGAAATATCTTTCAAGTCCTTTGACCATCTTTACATTGAGGTTTTCTTTGTTGTTGTTGTTATATCGTTAGATGGCAAGTTCTTTATATATCCAAGTATTAGCTCCCACAAAATATGTGATTTGCAAATATTTTCCACCATTCTGTAGGTTCCCTTTTCAGTGTGTGGATTGCTTTATTGGATTCACTGTTTGATCTACACCCATTTGTCTGTATTTTCTTTTGTTGCCTATGCTACACCCAAGACATTGTCCAATCCAATGTCATGACACCATCACAGTAGGTTTTCTTCCAGCAGTTTTTCTTTTTTTAAAATTAATTCATTCAACAGGATTTAGCTCAGTGGTGCTACGCCTGCCTCGCAAGCACAAGGACCTGAGTTCGATCCCTGGTACCAAAAATAAATAAATAAATAAATCACGTGCTTGGGAGACCAAGTCCTCTCCATTTCTACTGGCTGATTTACTGTGGCTACCTCATGATCCCAAGAGGGCAGCCATAGCTCCAGCTCTACTGCACAAACAACTTCCCAGTTGTGACAAACCACTCCAAACTCAGTGGAGTAAAATAACAACCATCTTATGCTCACAAAATCCAGCATGGATAACTTGCTTCATCTCTACAACATCTAAGTCCTCACATCTTCTTCCACCCTTTTTACTTCCAGCAGTTTTATGGAGGTGAGGGGCTGCCTGTTCTGGGACAGTCTGGAGTCTGGGAAGACAGGTGGCCATCCTCCAGAGCCTCTGGCTTCAAGAAGATCTGTTGTCACTAAAATAAAGAGCTCAGAAAGCTGTTAACCCGCAACACACACGCACACGGAACTTAGCCTTGACATTCATGAAGGGTGTGGCCATGCGCTGGAACATGGGTGAAGAAAAACCAACTCGGCCAACAGAAATGACTGTGGCCAGCAGTTCCCCACTGCTGTCTTTTCTCGCTTGTGGGTGTCTTAGCTTAGAATGTTTTCACCCAGGACCTGGCCTCGAGGGGTCTAGACATCTGATGTTTAGCTGTGACCCTCTCTGGTGCAGGCGGGTGCCCTGCAAGGGGACTGGAATGGATGTTGAGAGCCAGGAGATTAAGGTAATATAAATTAGATGGCACAACAGAAGTGCCAGGCCCCTGCTTAGCAGAGGGAGCACTGTTTCCCTGGGACCTTTGTTGGCAGGTTGGTGAGTGCAGCTGGTTTGGGACGGGCCAGTGCAACGATTATGAACACAGACTCTGTGGCTGGATAGGGCTGTGGTAAAGAGCCACCCTTCCCAATGGGGTCAGCAAGCCCTGGGCTTGAGTCCTTTTCCAACCAGCAGCACTGGGGAGTATACAGGGTCCCTCCTGTCAGTCTCCCTTGCCTGCCTGATCATTATGCGGGAGCAGGGCGGTGCTGAGTCAGGGGTCCCAGCTCCTTGAGCCAGCCTGACAACACAGGGTCTTAGGACATCTCCACACACCTGGGACAAACCCTGCTCTCTAAGTCCTACAGCCACACTGAGCTGTCCGAACAGATAACTGTCTAGGTCCAGACTTTTGTTTTTTGGTTTTATTTTTTGAGACAGGGTCTCACTACTAGTTTAATAGTTCAGGCTGTCATTGAACTAAAAACTTATGTAGCCCAGGCTGGCCTAAAGTCGCGGAGACCTAACTCTGATTGGAACTTGCCATTACCAAGTTTTGTGCAGGGACACAAACCCTGGGACTCTCTCAGGGTCCTCGGTTTCTTCACCCATCAGATAAGCACAATTTCCATGCTGTGTACAACGTGACTTCTCTGTGGGTCCACAGATGTGGTCTTTAAGCTGCAAATGTTGGGCAAAAGTGAAAAGGTATTTATTTCTGCTCTTGCTGTTGCACCTTGTTTTGATTTACAGATGTTTTGCAGTGGGTTCACCGTTATGCCATAAGCTGGAGCTCCAGGCTTCCCAAATGAGACATTTTCTGATTGATGTCCTCCTTTCTGACAACCAAAGTCCCCTCACCCCTTTCGTGCCACCGTCTCTCTGTACGCCCAGAACTCCAGCCTGGCCCTATAGAGCCCTGCTCCAGCCTACCCTTTTCTGTTTCCCCAGTCTCCTTCCCTAAAGGAAGAAAAGAGTGGCCCCTACCAGGCCACCCTTCTCCACGAAGTGCCACACAGCCTAATTCTACTTAGTCTTTCACCCTGACATCATTCAGAACTGGGCCAGCAGCAACTGCCATGGCCACTTGCCAGGGTTACACAAACACCTAGACAGGCCAGGCCCATTGTCCCTGCTTGGAGGAGCTGCCAGGGGGACCTCAGGACTTGTCTAGAGCCAGTCCTTCGTGGAGAGAGTTTAGTGGAATATCTATAAAACTGCTAAAATGTAGGGAGATCTTTTAAAACAACTAAAACCCCACACAAGGGGACCAGGAGCTGGCTGGTTTGGCCTGCTTTCCAGAAAAGAGGGTGCTAAGGACAGAGGAAAGAGTAGGTTTTGGAGACAGAAGTGGAGTTCAACAGCCAGCATCTTGGTTGCACATGTGACACTTTTTGTATTTCAGTTGACTCATGCAAAACAGGGGCACAGAATGATTCGAGTTGTTGAGATTAGAGAAGATAAGCGTCGGTTGGTTGGAGACCTTACCTTCAGCATTATTAGCATTTAGGGCCAGATAATTCCCGGCTGTGGGGGCTGTTCTGGGCATTGTAGGATGTTTAGTGGCACTCCCAGTTTATACCCATACAGATGCCAGTGGCACCTTTATCTTGAGCTGTGGCAACAAAAACATCCCTAGATACCACTCAATGTTCCCCAGGGAGCAAAATCTCCCCGATTGAGAAATCTTGGTACATGTGAGCACAGCAGACAAATAATCACATTCCTCACTATTACTATGTGTATGCAACAGACATATATGTATAAATTCATTTAATGAAAGGATATAAACTGGGTTGTGGTGGCATAAACCCTGTAATCTTAGCACTGTTGGAGGCAGAGGCAGAAGAATCACAAGTTTGAACCCAGCCTGGTTAATTTAATAACTCAGAGAGACCCTCTCTCAAAATAAAAAATAACTCTGTGGGAAAGGTTCTCAGTCTTCAGCACCAAAAAAGCCTGCCCACCCCACCCCCACTCCCTATGCTCTCCCCAAGCTCCCTCCAAGCCCCCCCCCCACCGGCTGGGGTGGTTTGCTTGGTCCCCAACCTTGTGAAGTTGGATGCATTAATATCAGCAAACTATTTCTTAATCTCCTAAGCCTCTGCTCAGAATCCTCAAAAAGAGAAGAAAGAAGAGGCACAAATCTCTTAATTAGGACGCCCAATCACTTCGATAAATATTTACCCGGTTCCGGCATGAGGCCTGGAAACCCACGTCATTAGTCAATAGAGGTCAGCAGAGTGCACCTTGGGGACCGCAGGCTGCAGTGTGGGGAGAATGTTTCCAGCCTTGTGCTCCTGCTGAAGACAGGTGAGCAAACACATTCCAAGCCTGCTCTGCACACCTGCCCCTGCCCCTGCTCCCCACCTCCACCGCCAAGTCCCAGGTGGTCAAGAGGGACTCCCTGTAAATCATCGCGGTAGTCAGGCACCTTAGCCTTTGGTTTCTTTTGTCTGTGGGGTCACCAAGCAAACCAAATATCCCGTGTTCCTGGGAGTGTCCCAGTAGGGCGCCTCTGCTCCTGTCTGCACCACTGCTGTTCTACTCTGAGCCATACCCAGAGTCACAATGTATGGCAGCTTCCCTGAGTGTCACAATGCCCCTGCTGCCGGTGCCACTTCCTGTGCAGCCTCTAAGAAACATGCAGGACCTATGGGCAGCCCAGAATTGGAGCAGTTGAGCCTTAGGTGTCCTAAAGGCAAGGGCTTCCCTTAGACTTTGCTACTTCTACAGAAGTCTTTCACAGAACATGCAGGCTTTCTATAAACTCTTGCCAGGCAATTATTCAGGTGCCTCGATTCCCATTTTACAAATGTGGAAAGAGAGGCCCCAAGAGTTTTGAGATCCTACCCAAGATCTTGCAGACCCCCAGGCTTCCTGAACCCAGGCCAGTGGTACCACACAGTATTGACGGGTGAATTCCTCTGGCCTGACTTTAGTAGCCTTTAGGGGCATCCTTCATTGGCACTCTGGTAGGCTGAGGCAGGAGGACTGCAAGTTCAAACCCAGTCTGAGCAACTTAGTGGCTTATCAAGAGCCTGTCTTTAAAAAAAAAAAAAAATTCAAAAGGGCTGGGGATGCAGCTCAGTGCAAAGGCCCTGTGTGCAATCCTCAGTACTGCAAAACAGAAAAGAAGGAAAGTGTTTTGTTAGAAACACTCTCTGCCCACCGGAACTTCTGTCTGTCCTTCCAAGCAGAGCTTCCCCAGGAAGTCCTGAGAACCCCCTTTCTCACTAGAACAAACAACATACTTGTGTCTACTCACCTCTTATACTTCTCCTCTGCCTGTCAGATAGCCCTGCTTACACCTACCCTGCATCCCTCAGGGTGCAGGCCTCTCCATTCTCTCCCCAACACACCCCAGGAGCCCAAGGTCATCTGAAGACCCTGGTAAAAATAGGTGCTCCTTTAAAAGGAGGGGATGACCCTGTCAACCGAAGGAGGAACTTCCTTGTATCTGTAGAAGAAGGTCCAGACAGGACCCCAGGCCTTCTGCATCGATTCTCCAGCTGGCCTTCCATCATCATCAAGGCCACCATAGCTAACTGCTATTGATCACTTAATGTGCCAGGTCTGTACTTAAGCACATCGCGCGCATTATCCCCATTGATCCTCACAACCGGCCTCTGAGCCAGACAGGATAGTTATCTCCACTTTACAGATGAGGAAATGGAGGCTTAGCAAGACTTAAAGAGTCTCCCAAGGTCACAGAGCTTGATCCAGCCAAGAGGTTGAAAGAGCAGCAAGGAGACCCTGGGAAGTTGCTCTCCCCTGGAGGAGCCTTCCTGAGCCCCCGCCCGCCCATGCTGGGAAGGCCCTGGGATGAGCTCTCTAGGGGCTCCCTCTGGGATTCCTTAGGGCACCCCAGGGCTAGGGATTTAGCTCAGTGGTTCTGCCACCTGCCTTGCAAGCACAAGGACCCGAGTTTGATACCTGGTACCACCCCCCAAAAAAATTGGTATTAGTAGTAATTTCTGCATTGACACCAAAAGTGCAAGGAACAAAAGCAAAATAATACTAATACCAATGTTGTGGAGCTTTCTTCCCTCCTCAGATTTATTCTAGAAGTTTTATAATTGTAGCTTTTATGTTTAAAATAATTTTGAATTTTATTTATATTTACAAAGGAAATAAAATTATTTAAAAAATCTCAGGGCACCCCAATTTCTCTAGAGGTCCATTCTGCAGTCCCGTTCTGCCTCCCCAGGAAAGCCAAGGCTGGAGAGAGAGCAGCATGGAGACTCTGGAGCTCCTTCACTTGGGTTCCAGGGCAGCAGCCACAGAAGTGACCCCAGACAAGTCCTTATCGTACTGTGTCCGTGGTCCATCCGTGAAAATGGAATGATACTGATGGCACCCGCTTCATGCTGCATGTGAGGATTAAATATGCTAATAATTTGTCAAGGGCTTAGAACAGCACCTGGTACAGAGTAAGTGCTATGTAAGAGTTTGTTAAACAAATAGGAAGTTCCCTTCCCCTTGTTTGTAGTGAGGTGCTGGCTTGAGGAGGAAGGTCTGGTGGCTGGCCGGGAGGGTAGGGTAGAGGCCAGGGATTATCTTTGTAATTAAAACGAAGCCCAAGAATCCGAAGAACCCTGGAAAGTCAACCAAAAGGAAGCGGTGGTCTGGGAGACTTCTCTCTCCCTCGGGCGGTTCCAAAGAGGACTCAAAAAACAAAACCAAAAACCAAACCAAACAACAACAACAACAACAACAACAACCCCGAAGTAAATAAAAGAAAAATAAAAGCCAGAGGAGGCTCTAGGGGATGGCACGACAGGAGGCCACAGCCTGGTGGCCTCTAATTCCTGAGAAAGGGGTGGGAACATATTTATTTAAAATGCTTGACATTTATTTTTAAAAGAACCAGAGGAGTGGCTCTTGGGACTGGCAGAAGCTACCCATCAATAATCCTGAGCCCCCAACGAGGTGCTGGGGGAACATACATTCTGTCAATCCAGGCCGGGCTTTCAGTCTCACCCGGTGATTTTGTGTGTGTGTGTGTGTGTGTGTGTGTGTGTGTGTGTGTGCCAGGAATTCCTGTCCCACGTGGGATGGACTCGGAGGTACTCAATTAAGCAGCCAATGAAAAGTCAGCTCTCCGGTAGCAAACGACCCTGACACTTCTTGTAACATAAACAGTTGAAACGTTTCCAATTAGAACTAGAGACAGAGACGTTTGAACTCTTTCTCTCCACCACTCCCCTCCTTCTTTAAAATAATTGTCAAGCGTTTTGGACAGTGTTGTATACATGTTTAAAAAATTTTTTTTTCTTTCTGAAGCATAAAAGAAATATACTTTTCCCCCCTTGCTTTTCCTCATGTGTGGGGTGGCAGGGAGGTGGGGGTAGAGCGGCGGCGAACTTTAAAAGGGCGCTGGCCTGGTTCATTAGCTCCCCGCCCCCTTCCTGCTCCGGTTTGGCCGCCTGGGAAGGCTGGGGGCTGCCCCCACTGCCAGACCCTCAGAAAGGGTTGGGTAAGGATGAATGAATGAATGAACACACAGGAATGAAAGTCTTTTCTTAATCAGATGCTCACAGACCCTGCTTGCCGCCAGCAAAGTAGACGCTGAGGTTGGCTGTGGAGACAATTGTCCTGGATTCCAATTCTGCCCCTCTGCCCTGCTTGGGGCACAGCTTTCTCGGTCCCTCTTTTCTACTCTGCAAAATGGGCCACCAGCCAGGCCGCTCCCCGTAGGAGTGAGATGAGGGATGGTACCAGAGACCCCGCTCGGGGCTCCCCTTGCTGGAGCGCTCTGGCTCTTAGGGTCTCCGGACCGCTGCAGTCGGGGCAGAAGCGAAGCGGAGGCCTGAGACGGAACACAGCCCGAGTAGGCCCGACCTCGGGGCGCCGAGGGAGTCGGCTCAGAGAGGCCCAGAGGGAGACCCTGGGCGAGGCGCGCTTCCCCGGCATCTTGAAGGCATTGCATTTAATAAATCTGGGCGACACGCACACCGCTCTCTCCCCCCAAGGCTCCCAAATCCAGACCTGCTGTAGGACCCCAGTTTAAGGGGTCTTAAAACCCCCTGCACTTTGATTAGCAGCTTCAAAGAGCTCCCTTCAAAGTGCTCCCCGCCCCCACCGCCCCTAGCCAGCTAGAGCAAGACAACAAAACACTGAAAGCAAGTTGAAGGGGGTGGGGAGTTTCGGGCTTCCTCCCGAAAGTGGGCCGCTGGAATTACCTATTGGAGGCTTGCGTTAGAGCTGGAATACCGTGGCGTTGGGGTTTTCTTTTTCTTTTCCTTTTTGTTCCTTCCTTTTTTTTCTTCTTTTTTTTGGGGGGGGAAGCTTGTGTGTGTGTTTTTACCTTTTATTATTTAAATTGATACGTTTCATTACTAGGGAGAAAAATAAAATATTCCTTTGATACACAAAATCAAATTGATATTTAGCCTCTGCTTACTTTTTTATGCATGGCTCCTTTATACCACATGGTAGTGACAGATTGTTTGAGCTGGAAGGAAAAGCCATTCAAAGCTAATTAAGCAGCCATTCCAAGCACTATTTGCAAGCGGGAGGCTCAGAAGCCTCGGCATTTGTCAGCGCTCCCCCACCCCGCGTGGTTTTGACTGACAGCTCTGGCCACCGACTGACAGCGCCTAGCCGCTCCACCAATCAGAAACGGAGAACCCCTCTAGCTGTCTGTGATTGGTACTTTGGGGGTTGCTTGGGGGCGTGGCCGACATCCCCCACGTGGGGCTGAAAAGAAAAGGGGCGGGGCGGGTAGGAAGCGGGTGCGCCCACCCGTGACGTCAAGGGGAGGGCAGAGAAGGAGGAGGGGAAAAGGAAGCTCTAAAGAGGAGCCATTTTGTGTCTAATGAATGCTGCGGCCAGATGCTCGCATCTGTCGATCTGGGTTTGTCCCTGCTCCCCCCTTCCGTGCGCACCGCACCCGATTTATGTTTTTATTTAGGAGAATAAATAAATGAATAGAGGAGCACTGTTCGGGGCCGGCGGCCGGAACGGGCGAAGAGGAGGCTCAGCTCCGAGGCGAGCACTCCCATGTAGCACCCTGCACCGGCCTCCCGAGCGCCCAAGCGCGCTCAGCTCATTAAGACGCAAAAACGAACCTCCGGCACCTAATGAGGGGAAAATATAGATCCCGGGGCGCGCGCTCGCACGTCGGTCGAGGAGGGACCTGGGGGCCGCCCAGCGGTGCCCTCTCTGAAGCCCGCTGGCCCGGATTGCGTGCCCTAATGTACTCTGAGCGCAGGGCAGTCAGACCATTGGGATGCGGGGGAAAATGCCCCCGGAGCGGAGTGGCCTGCTTGACCGCGCAGGGATCCGCGACGCGCGCGGGAGGCCGCCGGGGACCGTCTGC